TTCAAGAAATGAAAAAAAAACTATAAAAATTATTTGAGTAGTAAGAAAAATTGTTCCATTCTGATCAGAAACAGAAAAAATTTGAAAAACTGAGCAGAAAGGAACAATATAAAATATAATTTTGTAAAATAATTTTTGGCATTTCTCAAACTCCTTACGCAGCTGAGATCAAAAGAGAATGAAGCCCACAGAAGGGATCAACAACAAATATAAACACTGGTACATCACAAAAGAGCATAGGCTACAAGTGCTTGCTGGTTTCCTTATGATTTGTCACCGGAAAATAGGTGACAAAACAGTCCAAAAAACTAATCTCACCCCAGAACCACATCGAACCTTTGGGGTAAAAATTTCTTATCTATTATCTTCTCTTAAAGTATTTTTTTTGGACAGGTACTCAAGCAAAATTTGGACTTATCTAATCTAACCAAGAAACAATAGTGCAATAATGGCAACTTAAGTTGGCAAACTTGCAAACTCGTCAAAAATTGTTCTTTCAAAGCACCCCCACACTGCATACTGATAAGTTCAGATAAGAACCTGTTCAACCTTCTTACTGAACTCTTGAACTTGGATTTGCATATTATCTGCCTTCATACCCACCTAACAAAGCATTTGTGATCAGTGTTAATCACAAGCCATATAACTCCACAAGTGTCCCGCCATACATTGTGTTGCATAGCAGCTGGGTTTTTGAATGGCTGGTTACCCAACAGCAATGTTAAAATAATTCTTTTGGTTGGTGGGGTGGTGACAGAAACTATCGATGTCTGTCAAACAACCAATGTCAAATTAGTTATTAATTTGTCCTACAACAACAACTAAGGGTAAATCTTACTCTTTTGATTCTTTGCCTCCTCTTCTGCTCCTTCTGGTACTGCTGATATGTTCCATTTTCCACCTGCCTTCTCCTTTTTTTGCTGGAGGCAAAGTTCTGGGAAATGGCATCTAAATTGTACCAAGCAAAAAGAACACCAGGTTAAAACAATGAGTCTAAATTAAATTCATAGGCAGAAAAATGCTTCTGTAATCCAACTGGCACCCATTCAATATATAATTATTTGCTGTGTAAACCACAAAAGAAGCATTAACAAAGAGTACTATGAAAACTGCTTCAGCAGAAATCATCAAAATGTGAGGTACAAATCACGGCAGTACTGCCCAGGACTTCTAATATGCTCACTTGGAGAATCAAGCCTCATGATGAATAACTAAACACTGATATATGAGGCACTTAAACACTATTTTAACATGTCAAAAGGCTGTCGATTACATTTGTAGTAGAAATAAATTATTCAATACCAGATATCTCACCGCTCTGAAACAAGTAGACTAGCTGCAAGAGTTTAAGGAGTGGTAACTCCTCACATCAACCGGCACTAACCTAAAATTCTCCTCTCAGTGCAAAGAGAATCATTTTTAATTTGCTCCACCTCCTGTACCTCCTTAATTAGTTGTTGGGAAACTTCTTTATTTGGTGGGTCATTCTCTCTGTTAAATACAAAATATAAAATGAGTACAAATAAACCCCAAATAAGATAGCTAAAAAACAGAGAATTGGGTAATTGAGGCTGATGTTTCAGTTTTTCATGAACTTTGTGGCTTAAAGAATTGTTGTGCCAGTGTCTATTTGCTCGAAAATTTTAAATGGAACCAACATCCTTTCCACTCTCAACATCATCACTTCATGCACTTGCGATCTTAATACTATTCTTTACTATAAATGGTGGGATTTCTTTTCATTACAAAACTTGCTGTACTCTTGATAAAAGCAATGCTTTATCATGTGCTTTTGAAACATCAAGTCCAATAATGTCTAAACTTGAAATTAAAGGATCTGTTATTTATATCGCTTGGTGTGGCCTTTATTTTGAACCACCTGTAGACAAGAAACTTGCCTAGTACAAAATACTTACACTGCAAATAAACATCCAGAAATGTTTTGTTCAAAAAGAAAAGAAAAGCAAAATACCTATTCTAATCATTCTCTCCAATGTTTTGAGGCTGTTTCATAGAAAGAATTGAAGAAAGACAATAAAGTGACGTTTGAAACTAGTACAGTTGAGGTAATCTCCAGAAATGACCAGTCATGAACTATGACTATACCTTGTTGCAGTTGAATTACCACCATCCTAGAACCCCCTCTCAATTTTTCAAAAATTGCAAGAAAAAGAAAAAAAATAGTAAGTGTTGGAAAACAAAACACGAAATTCCTTTGGGGTGGTGGATGGAGGGGGGGACAGGGGAAAAAGAGGCACTCATGAGGCCGATTTACATTTTTTGGTAAGAAAATGGCAAAGGTCTCGAGACTTTTGTCGCTTACATTGTAGCTGAGGTTTGTTGCCTTTTTAAAACATAAACTAATGTCAAGAATAAGAACATTTAACTTACTTCATTTCAGTGTTCCATTTAAGTCCCAACTGATCCATCTTGGAACGGACATAGTGCTGTCAGAGATCAACAATATTTACAACAATCATGATCCGCACTTAAAATGACACTTGTAATTTAAGATCTGGATAAGTGAGCTAGAAGTGAAGTGCCCCCTTAAAATAATTATTGGTTACAGCATTGAAACTACATGGAACAAACATGGCAAAGTTAGTAAGATTGTCCATTTTTGGTGTAATGGCATGAAAATGAAAGGATTCATGGGATTTTGAATCATGTCCAGAGTGTACATGTATGACAATTTCTCCAGAAAGCAAGGCTTGTTCTCTAATAAACTTTCCATAGAAATCCTTATAATTTCCACGATTTCCAAATCCCATATATGAGTCCCTGTACAAACTACTCCACTAAAACTTGGTAATTTTAATTTATTTCGACATGCTCTGGTCATATCGAAAGCCTGGAAAAAGCTATCACGTGGTGTCCTCTGCAGCGAAACAAAAGGTGTGATATCTATCTCGAAATGCGCACGAAATTCAAAAATTGCCCCTGCAATTCTGGCCTTCGCTCTCCACAATTCTACAGAGTGCTTGTAACAACAACTGGTAAGATTGCGCAGTTATCATTGATCAAAACTAAAAAATCGTCAAAAAAGTAAGCCTACTCTTACCGAAAGATCGGGATGGCGTGCAATTTTTCTTTTTCTCGATGAACTTGGTGGCGTCATCATGCAATCGTTTCCAGCCGTTGCCTCTGTACTTGGATGATTGGCTATTTTAGCTTCAAGGGAAGATATTCTGTCCTCCATAGCCTTGAATCCATTTACCATAGTGGTTTCAATCCGCTCCAGAGTTTGATGGACTGAATCTGAGAAGTCCGTTTGGTTTCCTTCGATGATACTTAAAGAGTCGTTGATGTCCGACAATTTACTTGCTAGACTAGCTTGATCGGATCGTTCCAGCTTATCCTGTACTTCTTTGATCCTGGTCAAAATCTGTCGGAATTCCGAAGCATTTGAAGCTCTGGCTGCCATTTCTTCCTTATAAAAACAAAAACTCGCCACAAAAAGGTCAGAGATCACGCTTCACCCCGGAAAGCGTCTGTGCACTTTAAAGCGTCACTCTTTGAACAATGAATTTTGATTGGTTCATTTTGGTAACATGAAATATTATTGGTGAAAAATGTTGCACCTTGGCAATGACGGTCAGCGGTATTTTGTTTAGCGCCAAGATCGCGCCAAAGTTGACCTCACATCTCTGATTTTGAGAGAATAATACGAATCCCTCGCATTTTCATTTCGCCGATTGCGCCATATTGTCATGCCTAAAAGAAGCTCTCCCCGGAAAATGAATCGACGAAATAGACGCCGCATCTACTGTTCAAAATGTGGCAGCAGTTACTCTTACTCGGGATCGAGAACACACGTTTGCATGGGAGATTCGAACGATGAAATCAACAACCCAGATCATGATGAGATGGATAGCCCACCTGCACAGCCTTTCTCAAGAGACGATATTTCACTTGACGATGAACCCGAAACAGAGGTACCGATATATGATTCCGACGAGAACATCGAAGAAACTGACACAGAAGGAAGCGATACTCTGTTGTCTGCAGATCTCAGGAAGAGGCTTAAAGACAGACTGAGAAAACGTTTCAACCAAGAAGATCTGTCTTATTTTGAGGACGACGATGAAGATGGTTTAGCTCGTGAGAGTGATAGCTCAGAAGGGGTCGGCGACGTGATTGATTCTGTGAATGAGGACTGGAGCGATTCTCCCGAAACCCGGGAGGCTGGAGAAGATTTTGATCGTGATAGATCAGAAGAAACCACCAACGATGATGCAATGCCAATCTCTGACAAATGTGCTGTTCTCATGTTTTGGTTGGTATTTTTCTTAGTATCCTGGCAGTCTGGATTTTCTGTTACGGACTCGGCCGTCGAAATGTTGCTTAAATTTTTAAGTCGTTACCTGTGGCTTCTTGGAACCTTTGATGAAAATGGTGTTGTCGCCGGAATCGCAAAACGTTTACCAAACACTCTCTACAAGCTAAGGAAGCATCTTGGACTATTAGGAGATGACGATTTTATCAAGTATGTTGTGTGCCCTAAGTGTAAAACTCTGTATGATTACAAAGACTGTATCCAGAACCGCTGTGGAAGGCAAGTGTCAGCGCGGTGTAAGTTTGTACCATGGTCAAGACACCCACACAGGAGTCGCAGAGGTAAGAGAACACTTTGTAGACATCTCACTTACTTAGAAAGGCACTGTCACGGTTAAACTAAACTTGAAAAATTCAGGTTTTTTTATGATAAGCAAAGCAAATTATGTCCAATGGTGTTAACAATATTATTATTAACACCATTGCCCAATTTGCCGTCAGAATAAAAAAAAGTATATGGCTACCCCCGCCCCCCTCCCGGTCACCTGCACCTTCCTACCTCATGACCATGTGAACAGCGTCGTGCCGCTACATATTCGAGTTTTATGTAGTAGTCGTCGCATTAACAAAACACCGAAAATAATGGGCAAGACAACCACACGGAAGTTGAGGAGGTAAAAGAACACTTTTAAGAAATCATACTTACTTAGAAAGGCACTGTCACGGTTAAACTAAATTTGAAAAATTCAGGTTTTTTTAATAAAAGCAAAGCAAATTATTTCCAATGGTGTTAAAAATATTATTATTAACCCCATTGCCCAATTTGCCTTCAAAATAAAAAAAAGTATATGGCTACCCCCCCCCCCCGCCCGCCCCCCTTTTGTATAGCATGAAATAATTGTTTTTCCAAGGCAAAATCATATAGCTTTCATTTTTATAGAAACCATGTCACATGACCTCTTAGTGCAAATGGCCTATTGGCAGCAACCTCTTGAAGTTTCCATATAAAGGAATTTGGAAGTCTGTTCTAAGGCATTTTGATTTTAAGGGTTGCATTACACTGTAATGATGATAAAATTACAAAAGAAGTTATCTACTCTGGATTTGCTTTGTGAAACTTTTGTTTTATTTTTTTTTCTTAGGTCCTTGTGATGAAATACTTTTGAAGACCATTCACACTGGATCAAAGACATTTCTTTATCCAAGGATGGTATATCCTTATAATTCAATAGTGAAATCCTTAGAGCGCCTCCTTGCAAGACCTGGATTTTGGGCCAAAAATCAAGAATGGAGAAACCAGATCTCCCCAGCAGCTGTTAAGTCAGACATATATCATGGAAATGTTTGGAAGGAACTTTCGTCAAATGGATTTCTATCACAATCTAATAGCTTGGCTTTAATGCTCAATGTAGACTGGTTCAGACCACATAAGCATTCTCCAGGATCAGTCGGTGTTGTTTATCTTGTACTCCTCAACCTTCCCCGCCATGAAAGGTACAAGTTTGAGAACATCATTGTCGCTGGGATTCTTCCTGGACCATCAGAGCCCAAGCTTACAGCAAACACTTTCTTGGAACCACTTGTGAGAGAGTTACAGGCACTATGGGCTTGTAAGCATCGATTTGCTGTACATGGCAGTCTTTTTAAACGTCCGATAAAAGTTGGCCTCATTTGTGTTTCTTCTGACATCCCAGCTACCAGGAAAATCGGAGGATTCCTTGGTCATATGTCATCACAAGGTTGTTCTAGTTGTAAGAAATCCTTTAGCTCTGTAGACGGCCTCGATTTCAGCGGCTTTGATCGAGAAAATTGGATACCTAGAACTTCCAATGAACATAAACACTCTGCAAAAAGAACTTTGGATGAAACTAGCTATACAGCTCAACAGAAACTTTGCTCTCATTTAGGTGCCAGGTACTCAGTTCTACAAGAGCTGGACTATTTTGACTGTATACGTTACTTTGTGGTGGATCCCATGCATAATCTCTACCTTGGGACAGCTAAACATATGATGAAGAATGTGTGGCTTAATGACAAGAATGAATTCTTATCTAATGAGGACTTTGAGAGAATCCAAGAACTTGTTGATTCAATGACAGTACCCCAAGATATTGGACGCATACCTGGAAAAATTGCTTGCAGCTTTTCAGGCTTTACAGCAGATCAGTGGAAAAACTGGACAGTTATTTATTCTTTGTTTGCCCTCAAGGGAGTTCTCCCTGAAGACCACCTTGAGTGTTGGCGCCATTTTGTCCTTGCTTGTAAGCTTTTGGGAAAGAAAATTCTGACAGATGATGACATTGAACTTGGGGACAGACATTTAATGGAATTCTGTAAGAAATTTGAGAGATTGTATGGCAAGGATCTGGTGACTCCCAACATGCATCTCCATGGACACCTTAAAGAATGCCTTTTAGATTATGGTCCATTTCATTCTTTTTGGTGTTTTAGTTTTGAGAGGTTTAATGGCATCTTGGGTTCTTTTCACACAAACAACCGCTCTGTCGAGATTCAGTTGATGCGTAAATTTTTGTCGCAGACTAAAGTAAAGGACTTTAAATACCCGGAGTTGTTTCAAGACACCTTTATGGAATTCTTTGAAAGAACGCATACTTCAGGATCAGTGAAGGATACACAAGAGCCAATCAAGCAGTACCTCAGTCTCCAGCAACATAGGGATTTATCAGTGAAAGACTTACAGTCATGTGATTGGACAGCAAATGAGAATGTTGTAGTAATGTCAGCAATGAAAGATGAAGCATTAGACAGTGAAGACTTGCATGCACTGGGGCCAGTTTACAAGGAACTTCTTGGACTCAATGATACTAATTCCCTCGAAATGCCTCGTTCCATAGCAGAGTTCAAGTCAGTAAAAGTGGGATCTCTATTGTATGGATCACAACAAAGTCAGACCATCAGGAATTCGTTTGTTTTGGCAAACTGGGCAGGGAGTGAAGGAACTCTAGCCAGCAACTCAGGATCTGATGATGTCAGACCTGGACAAGTACTGTCTTTTTTTCGCCACTGCATTAAAGTCAAAGCAGTGCGGCCTCATTTGCCAGATAAGCGATACACCTTTTTCATTGCAAGGGTCAATTGGTATTCATTGCATCCACAGCGTTATTCATATGGAGTACCTGTGGAAATATGGTGCAACTCATTTGATGTGTTTGGACCAGCCTGTTTTATTCCTGTTCAAAGAATTCAATCCAATTGTTCAGTAGGAAAAATAATTTATAATCAAGAAAATGTTCTTGGAGTAACAAGTTAAATGTAGATTGATGTAAGCCTTAAAGGTGCCGTGTCACACTATTTTTTTAGTTTTCTTTAGATACCTTCTCAAAATGAGTTGGCAGCCGGCTTAATGAGCCATCCCTGGTGGGAATTTCACCATGATAATTCTGCTGGAAAATGCGGAAGTTTTACTACAGTATCAGGAAAGCGTTAAACAATAGGCTGCTCCACATAATCATTTTGAAAAGGCTGAAGATTTTTCAACATCAACAAATATTTGTTTTTCATCGAAAAAGACTGTGGCATTTTATAGCTATTTTTATTTTTTATTTCTACTTCTTATTCAGTTTTTATTTTATTTTGTACAAAAACTGAAGGAGCCACCCTACTAAAATAAAGGTTTCTATCTATCTACAACTGAAATGTTGTTATTGTAAATATTCTTATTTGTTTGGTTTGAAAACCAATGTTTCGTCAAAGGGCAGGAGGGTTTTACTTAAACAAACGGTCCGCCATCCACTACTGATGACGTCATTGCGGGTGATATGTTTGGGTATTAGACAATGTAAAACACATATTTCAGGGGCGTTTCCTTCTTTTGAGTGGAAATTGCTGCAAATGACATTTCATGGATGGTTATTTATAGGGGGTGGGGGTTTCTCAGACAAATTACCTATCTGGAGGCAGGAGCCGGCTCCTGCTGGAAGGTATTGTCAATGTTTGTTGCAAAATACAAATAATCGCATTGGCAAGAATATTTTTTCACTTTTTGCGCCTTTAAAATTGATCAATGCAGGGCTCGAAGTTATCTTTTCAGTGCACTTGCAAAGTTTTGCTAGTAAGGTTTTTTTCCACTAGCAAACTGGTGAGACCACAAGCAAATTATTTCCCTTTGTTTGGGAGACATTGATAATT